CAGAGCCCGACGCGGGGCTTGAACCCACGGACTGCGAGATCATGACCTGAGCCGAAGTCGGACGCCCAACCGACTGAGCCACCCAGGCGCCCCAAAAGAATTTTTTTTTAAGTTATTATTTGGAGAGAGAGGGAGAGACAGAATCCCAAGCAGGCTCCATGCCCAGGCTCGATCCCATGAACCGTGAAATCATGACCTGAGCTGAACCCAAGAGTCGGATGCTTAGCCAACTGAGCCACCAGGCACCCCTGACTAAATCAAGCGCTTAATCAGTTTCATGAGATGAAGGTTTGCCTTAATGATTGAAGAAAATATACCTCTTAGAATTCTTTGAATCCAGGCTTAAGAAAAAGCGTTAAAAGTAAAAACTACGGAAAAAAACACATTTTTCTACTTTTCATAAGGACTCATTTTGTAATGTTTCTGTGTAAGGAATCAGTGGCATATGATTAACTAGACACGCTAACGCTCAAGCTGTCAACCTTGGAGCGTTTGGGAAATTCTTGCTATGAGGCCCAACCCCAGATTCTGGGTAGGCCTGTGTCTCCCTAAGGCTGGGTTGTAGTTCTGACACTGGTGGGCCTGAGGGTCTTAGTTAGGGGTGGGGTATCAGAGGGATGAGGGTGACTTCCCATCACGGGGGCTGGCAGGGTGGTAGAGATCCTCCGGCTCCTTCTGAGATTCCCATTCTTCTCCCAGGGGCAGTGCCTGCAGGTGCCTTGGTGGGGCAAGGTTCCTCTCATCAGGGGCATCAGGGGCATCAGGGGCTGGTGGCTGACTTCCTGGGAAGCCCCACAGACAGGAGGGCTTGGCCGGCACAGTTCCAAGCACAGGAGACGAGAGGTCCTAGCCCTGTCTGGGCGGGACAGTGGTCCGCCCTCCTGCGTGGACCAGCTCCCTTGGTGTCCCACCCACTAGGTCACCTCTGCCCCCTCTCAGGAAAGACCCCCAGTCTGAGAGCACGAGCCTGCTGCTCAGGGCCTGCTAAGTAACCGGTGGTTTTGTTTTGCCCTTGGCCCTGTGTCTCTAGGTGCAGGATATCGTCAAGCCAAACGCACCCCACACTTTCGTCATAATGGGAAGGAAGCGGTCCCTGGAGCTGCAGACTCGGTAAGGGTGGCTGTCCCAGCCTCTGCTGCTGTGGGAACAGCTTTGACCTGAGATTTTAGCAGACAGCTTTCTTTTTCTGAACGGGATAACCTTGTGACGTGTTGTTTTGGGCTTATGTTATTCACTTATTTGTGGTTTACAATGTAACAGCTCTAAGGGGAAGTCGGTGAAAACTTAGCTGCTGTCTTCCTCCTCTTCTGCACCCCAGCAGACACTCTTAATCATCTTGAAGGTGTCTTTCCGGAACTTCTGGGTGTATGAACGTGTACTGAGTTTTAAAATCGCACATGGTTATTTATTATATAGCCCGTTCTGCCTCTTGCTGTAAGAAATCATTTCATATCCGAGCCCCGTTTCCATAAGCAGCATAATTCTCTGTTATGGGCCGTGGCCAGCTCCTGCTGACAGGCACCTAGGCTCTTCCTGCATCTTCATACTGTAGAAAGTGCTAGAAGCAGCGTTCTTGTGCCAGCTCTGTGTGTGTTTGTCAGCCTGTCTTTCAGGAAGTTTCCTGAAGTAGAATTCATTGGTCAGACAGTAGCACATCTGCTTTAGGCTTTGGTGGCTGTTGTCACACTACCCTGTAACTGATGCCAGGCTTGTGCTCTGAGGGGCAGGAACGTACAGGAGATCCCGCCTCTCGTTTCCATGAGCAACGTGAGATCTTTGTAACAACTGTTGTGGTCCAGGGAGGCGTTGATTTACATTCACTGCAGGGGGATCTGCATACCACACCTGGCCATATGTGATCCTGTCTAGACACATCTGACCCTATGTGGCCACACCTGACTCCACCTAGACATACCTGGGCACAGCTGACTCCTCCTGACACATTTGACTCCACCTGGCCACCCCTGCCCCACCTGGACACACCTGCCCCACCTGGCCACCCCTGACTGCACCTGGCTACCCCTGCCCACCTGGACACATCTGCCCCCCCCCAACCTGGACACACTTGACTCCAGCTGGTCTCATGTGACTGCACCTGTCCCACCTGGACACACCTACCCGACCTGCACACCCTGACTCCAGCTGGTCTCACAGGACTGCACCTGCCCACAGTGTGCCAGAGCACTTGGAGATGGTCCTCCAGCCCTTGAGCTGCACTTGGAGGCTGTGAGCAGCTGGGGCATGTGCTGCGGGACTGACAGGAGTCTGGTGATTAATGGTGTCTAAGACCGGGTTGATAAAATACTGCTTTTGTTTTTATAGGACGGAAGAAGAGAAAAAAGAATGGATTCAGGTGAAGCTTTTAAAATTTTAAAGTAATCGACCAAATTCTTGGGCAGTGTGGCCATTTCATGTTGCAGCAAGGGATAGAGTGGCCCAGGCATTGCCCACCCATGTGTCCCCTCGCAGTGATGACGTGACCCTCATTAAGTCCCTTCAGATGCCACAAGTCTTTCAATCGGCTCACGTGTTTGGCACCATAGTGAACAAATAAACACGGAAGGCCTGGAGGTGGGCAGGTGGGGACGTGGATCTCTGCCGTCTGGTGGGCCCAAGGGGAGCCCACGGCCAGCCGGCACGAGCAGCAGGTCACATGGAATGGGGAGGTGGCCAGTGTTCTGGGGCAGCCAGAGCAGACTTAGCCTGGATCAGCCACGGTGAGGACAAGGGGGACAGAGACTAAAGCCATGAGGGCAAAGGTCAGAGCAGGGGCTGAGGAGGGGAGCCCAGTGTAGCACTGACCCGGAAGGCCTGTGGCTTCCAGAATTCTTAGAACAGAAATCTGGGCAAGGCGAGAAAAAGGAAATTCAAACAGAAACAAGGTGGGAACGCTGCTGTGGGAAATGGATGTGTGTCTGCAGGTCCATACAGAATATCCGGGAAGCATCTGTGGCAGCCTAGACGCTGGCAGGCGGCGGGTGGTGTGGGTGGGGGGGCGGCACCTGGCATGCAGGGTGGGCCTGGGACCTGTGGATGGGGAGTAGAGACTTGGTTGGCCATGGGTGACCTGTGTCGGGTCGTGGGTCAGAGGGACGTGCGTGGCCATGGGATCCGTCCGTGAGGACAGAGGTGTGCTGGCCCCTTCCCTCCTGGATGTGCTCGCTGAGGGCCCTGGTTCTCTGTGGTTTCATCTCAGGTCATTGAGGCCACCATTAAGAGGCACAGGCAGAACAGCCAGACCTTCAAGGCCTTCAGCGGCTCCTTCGGCCAGGATGAGGACTCCTCTCTCGCCCCAGAGTCCCCTGTGAGCACCAGCGCCCTGGAGGCACGGCAGGGACCCTGAGGGGTGGGCACTAGGCCTGATGCAAGAGGGCTGGCGCCCCGGGGAAGGACCAGGGGCCAGCGTATGGGTGACATTCACTCACTGCCTGTCCCTTACTGAGTACTGACACAGGGGCCATGGGGCTCAACAAGGTGGGTCAGTGCTTAGCTGGGCAGGAAGGAAGAATGGGCCTGGGTGACGCTGTGCATGAGGAGCTCGCTTGTCCCCACACGCAGGAGGCAGGGCCCTGCCCAGGGCCAGGTGTGGGCCGTGTCAACCGCAGCCACCCCTTAGGGGCCACCTCCTGTGGGCACAGTCATGAGTGCCTTCAGAGGAGGGGTCCCTCCCTCCCACCCCCCAGCAGAGGCACCCTTGAAACCAAGGGAAGCCTGGCCCAGCCTGGCCCCACAGCCTCATGTCCCCGTGTCCCCATCACCAGGCCCGGCTGGCCCTCCCACAGCCTCACTGGGTCTGCCTGTCAGACCACTTAATATTTGCATCATATCTGTCCTTTATTTTCTGCTTCGTGAACACATTTTGAAAGAAAACTTTGCATCCGTCTCAGGCCACCTTAAGCAGAGGCAGCCTGGACTCCGAACCATCCCTGCGGCTACAGAGGGGCAGGAAGAGCCAGGCCCTCTCCCCTACCCTACACGGTGGGGCACAGACTCTGCAGGAGTGTCCCACGCTAGGCCCGGGAGGGGCGGTTCCCCAAAGTCCCAGCAAACACTGGGCCCCAGTAGACTCTTCCTGCCCCTGTGGTCAGGCAGAAGGGGTAGGGTTACGGCCACACTGGATGTCAGCGCGGGGCCGTGGAACCTGCACTCATGCTGACTGTCTTTGTCCCTTCCAGGTGGTGAGTGCCAGCTCTGAGGACCCTGCTGTGGCAGCCGGCGGTGGAGGGGGCACCACGGGGGTGAGTGACCCCTCCAGCTTCGGCAGGGGTGGAAAGTGGAGGGTGAGCTGGGACCAGGATGCTACCGCATTTGACCTGAGTCCCCTCAGCGACAGCCTCTGGCCCTGCTGGGAGAGGACTCGGGGGAGCCTGCTGGGACCCATGTGTCCATTGCCTGGGTTGGGTAGAGGTCACACAGCTGGGCTCTTTACCTCCTGTGAAAAGTGACTCAGGGCGGTGCCTGACCTTTAGGCCGCTGGGTCATCCAAAAGGGAAAGGTCAGCCCCCTGGCCCCAGGGCTCGGGAGGACAGGCAGGGGCGCTCTCAGGGAAGGCTCCTCGGAGGCGGTGTCTGACCCATGCCTTGGGCCCAGGAGGATGGAGGGAGGTCCTCCCTGCAGGCCCGGGAAGACAGTGGTGCCCGAGACCCCCACTCCAAGCCTGCTCACCTTCTTGCCACCTGGGGCCAGGCAGGCAGGGAAGGAGCGAGGTAGCCTGTGTCCCTGTCCCCACCCACGGACAGGGACAGGCCTCCTCTCCTCTGGCTGGTTGGGGGGTTAGGTAGGAGGGTGAGTGTGTGTGCCTGGCACTTCGTGAGTGTGGTTGTTGACCACTGGCCGACCAGTCGTGAACCCTGATGACAGCTGTGACCCAAGGCACCAGGGGAGTGTTGCACCTGTGTGCCGGAGGGGACACTCCTGGGCAGGCTGGCGGGGAAGGGCTGGAGGCCCACACTTGGGCTGGCTGCCCAAGGGTTTGCTCCTGAGTCCCCCAGGTCACATTCTGCGACCCGCCAGCCTCTCCGCTCCTTTCCCACGCCCTCACCTTCCAGGCTCACGTCCCCCCCCAGGTGCTGCCTTAAGTTGCTATTGAGTCTCCCTAATCCAACGTTGAAGCCCAGAGCTCGCCCAGTGAGGCTGTGTGGCCCTTGTGGATTGGTCGTTGTTCTGGGCGGCCCCATTTTGGAGAGAGGCTTGGGAGGCAGGCCTGGCTTCTGGCTCCTTCCTCGAGTTGGGAAGAGGGCATCTGAAGAAACTTTGGGGAGATGGCAGTTGTCTCCTTGGCCACAGGGAGCAAGGTTCCTGTCATGGCCTGAATTTTTAGTAAGAATACATTAGTCCCCTCCTCCCATCGTGGCCTTTGCTGGGAGGGGCAGGTGCACCTGGACACTGCAGCCTCCTGCTGCTTAGGAGAGTGGAATCTGGGCCCCCAGCCTGTGTCCTCGGGTACCAGGCGCTGGGAAAACCTTGAGAAGCTCCTGGGCCCCCAGGGAAGGAGGGGGCATTTGGGGGTCATGAGGGGTGCAGGGGCCAGGTGACAAGAGGAGCCCCCTTATTCAAGTGGTACAGCTGCCTCATGGCGCTGGGGAACAGACGCAGTCCCCAGCAATTAGAATTATTGAGTCAAGAAGCCTGAAAGGGGCATGGGCAGTGGGGAAGGGATGGTCTTGTCACCGCCCCTGAACTCCCTGAGGGACTTCCTGTGTCTGGCTTCACCCTCCTGACCCTCCCCTGGGCCTGTGCACCTGCTCGGGGCCCACGACATACAAACAATGCAGCAGACTGGCAGCTCCATACTTTTCTCACTGGTGCGTCCTATGAGCAGAAATGTTTCTGGACCTGGGGCAGCTCAGTGTGGGCAGAGCCCTGGCTGTACAGGGCCTGAGTGAGACCTCCTCTGGGCACCTATACGGAAGGTGCCCAAAAAATGAGTTTTCATTCTGACACCGAAAGACTGACCCTTGCTACAGACGTAAGCTTACTCTTAGCACATTTAGAGAGGATGGCTAAGCCCATGCATGCTGTGCTGGTCTCATTTCCTGAGCCCTGGTGTCCTCAGACAGATGCTTCTGCAAGCCGCTTTTCCTAAGAGAAGCTAAACCCAAACCAGGAAGTTTCGCAAGTAGCTGAAGCCCTCAGTGTTCTGCAAGAGTCACGTGGCTCTTCACAGAGGCTTCCTGGGGCCCAGACGCATGGGGGTGGGGGGGCATGCGGAACCCTCTAAGGGAGTTCCTTGCCAAGCAAGGCCCTGCCCCCACCACCACCACGACGTGGCGCTGCCCTTCCACCCCGAGCCCAACCTCTGGGCTCATAGGACAGAGCTGCCCACAGGGAGCAGAGGGTCCGGGCAGGGTCCATGTCCACGCCCTGCAGGACCCTCGGGCAGGTGTGAGGTTCTTTCAGGGGCTGCTTGTCACGGCCACCTGTTGGGGGCAAACGTTTGCCTGAATGTTTCTCCTGCTTCTATGCTGTGGGACGAAAAACACTCAGTGAATCAGACCCCAGCGCCCTGGGCAGAGACCCCCTCCCGCATCCATGTTGGCATGTGGGGTGCTTTGGGTGGAGCCTTGCGGGTGCCACAGTTCTGTACCTGCCTGAGGACTCGGCCCAGGCCTTTCAGGCGTCGCAGCATCCAAACAGATGAGCACTGCTCTCATTCTCTCGTCTGATAACCTGACCACAGAGGGAGCCTGGTGAGCCAAGGAGACCCAGTCCCCGGCCTTGCGGGTGGGTTCCTGACCCCTCAGTGTCGGTGTTGGTGTCAGTGTCGGTGTTGGGAGCTGCGCGGCCTGGGGCGAGCCGCATCAAGACCAGACCCAGGGTGCTGGCGTGGGGCTACAGAATGCTCTCCAGAGAAGGCTGCTCCCCTCAGCCCCAGCCCCCAGCCTCCCTGTTGTGGAGCTGCCCTTGATTCTGCTGACCTTCAGGTGGTGCCCAGGCGCTCCAGCCCCACAGCATTCGCCTCCAGCTCTTACGGGCCAGCCCTCTCCGGCCCTCCTCCTGCCCCAACCCCCTGGGACACCCTGGAAGCCCACACGGACTCCCGGCTGTGATTTGTGGCTCTGGCCTTGGGCCAGTGCACACATCCAGCTGCCCTGCTGTTCTCTGCTGGCCACTTGTGCCTCGTAGGCCCTTGGTGGGTCACCCTGGGGGGTGGTGGAGGGCAGGGTGGGGGCTTCCGGGCCATGGCATGCCTCAAGGATGACCACATTCCCCTTTCCTCTCCCTGCCCTGTGCCCCCGACCCCAGACCCCGTCCCTCCCACATCTGGCCCTGAGCAGTCCTGAGATAGTCTCCAGGAAAGGAGCCCTGAGTGAGGTGGGGAGAAATGGGAACATAGAAGGGGGGTTGGCAAAGTCAGTCAGGATCCACCTGCTATGATGGGGCTTAGGAGCCGTTGCTAACCCCACTGTACAGATGGGGGACCCTGAGGCTCGGAGAGATGATTCGTTCATGGTCTCGTGGCTGATGAGGGGCAGTGCAGGGGCTGGGGGCTGTACAACTCCTACCCAGATGGAGAAACCAAGGCTCAGCCAAGTGGCCTTGCTGAGCCCCCACTGAAGCCTCATGCTGTGCTGTCTGCACAGTGTGCACCTGCTCACACCTGCCTCCTGCTGGTGAGAAAGCCTTTGCCTTGGGGGTGCTGGGGTCCTGGACACAACTGAAGTCACGGTGACAAGGGGATGGGAGCCGAGCACGCAGACCCCGCTGTCCGTGGTGCAGACGGAACCTGGTGGGGCCGGGAGGCTGGGAGGGGGCTGCTCGCAGAGGCTGGTTTGCATTCTGCTTGTTTACTGGTTTCTTCCTCTTCTATAAGATGTTTCTGGTGACCAACTGAACAACTGCAGTCAGACTTGGGCTAGAAAGTTACCCTGGCCCCAAACAGCCAGTAGCAGCCCCCGGGCGTGCTTCCTGCAGCCTTGTCTCCGCTCACAAATAACCTTTCTGCTTGCCACCCTGCACGCGGGTCTTCTCCCTGAGCGGTGTCCGGGCAGCCTTCAGCAGTGCCCCCACTTGTCTGACTGCACCTCTCACACAGGGGCTCCCTCCTTAGCGTTGGGCGACATCAGAGTTAGGAAGAAAAGTGGATACATTCGACAACAAAATCCTCGTCTGCAATCACTAAAGCAGTAGAGTAAAATGGAAACCCCTGCCCTCGCCCTCCGGACCCGACGCAGCCTGTTTAAACGAAAAGCGCTTTATGTTGTTCGTGTGACTTGTCCCAAAACTGTGTAACCTCTGTGAACACAAACCACATTCGTTTCCTGACTTCCTGTTGATCCCCTGGCAACCCCTGGGCGGGAGGGCCAGACCGCTTGGTGGAGGCTTCGTGGAGGCGGAGAGGGTGCAGTTGCCGCCCACCTCCCTGGTGCCCAGGTGGGCCCTGTGTGCCCCTGAGCCTCAGGCCAGCGGCACGGGCTCCAGGCAATGCAGGCCATGCCGGGCAGACCCCCTCTCCCCACCTGGGTGGCTGGGCACCGTCTTCTCAGACCCAGCAGGTTGTCACTGGCCTCCACGCAGGCCGAGTCGATCCAAGCAGAGATCCAGACCCCTTACACTCTTCCTGTGGGCCACAGTGACCCCAGGGCAGCCTGGGGGGTGGAGCTGGGCGGGAGCAGAGGCGACGTGCTCTGCTCTGTCTTCTGCACCGCGAGCGTTTTGCTCTGCGCGTGCACTGCCCGCGTGCTCACCCAGCTGCCCCTGCGCCCTTGCCACCCCCGTAGCCCGAGCCGAGGAGAGGGTCTGCTAAGACCAGGCGCGACAAGGAGAAGCAGGGCTGCAGGAGCTGCGGCGAGACCTTCAACTCCATCACCAAGAGGAAGCACCGGTGCAAGCTGTGCGGGGCGGTGAGTCTGAGCGGCGGCCCCTCCCCGCCCGCAGAGTGGTGCCCTGGAGCAGGCAGGCGACGGCCCGTCCCAAGTAGGGGCTCCCCTCCTTTCTCTGGTCCGCTCGCGTCTGGCCAGCGCTGTCGTGGCTGAAAAAGTGCCAGATTTGGAACCACAGAGCTCAGAGCTGGGTGTCCCGGGAGCTGGGGGATGAGGGTGACCTCATGCCCTGTGAGGAGGTGGGGGGGGATGGGGTGGGGGGAGGCAGGTGCAGGGTGCAGGCGTGATGGGAGCTCCCTCCTGCTGCTTCGGTCCGGGTGCTCCGAGGGTGCTGACGGTTGGGTGGGCCTGTGGAATGTGAGGCCACCTTCAACCGGCACCCTGACTGATCACCGTCTCCATTTCTCCTCACAGAGCCCCCACGACCCTTTCTCTTGAGGGTGGGGTTTTGAGTTTAACACTGGAAGGGAAAGTTGTGCCTGATGAAGTGTTCCTAGGTTAAGTTGTTAACATGGAATGTGTGTCAACAAGGGGTCTAAGCACAGAGCTGTCTTAGAACTGTTTTTTCCAGAACATACCAGCGGACTGTGCCTGGTCTGCTGTTCGCTGTCATGCCCTTGCATGAAACCTTGAGGCACTGGGGGAAGGAGAGGTAAATGGATGAGCCCTTAAGTGAACGGACAGGTGGATGAAGGGTGGGTGAGTGGACAGAGGATGGATGGATGGACGGTGGGTGGATGGTGGGTGGATAGCTCGATGGATGAATGGATGGAGGGTGAGTGTGTGGGTGGATAGATGGGTGGATGGATGGATAGAGGACGGATGGATGAGTGGGTGGGTGGTAGGCGGATGGGTCATCATCCATCCGTCCATTCACTTATTCAACCATCCTTAGAAATAGAAGTAGAAATCTAGTAGAAATCATGGAAATTGCTATGTCATAGGGTAACTTCATTTTCAATTTTTTTGAGGCCCCAAATATTTCTTTTCCACAGCACCCATACCATTTTACATTCACAGCAACAATGCTGATGGCATCAGTTCCTCCGCATCCTCACCAACACTTACCTTCTGTGTTCTGAATAATAGCCATTCTGACTGATGTGAGGTGACATCTCATCATGGGCTTTGATTTGCATTCCCCCGATGACAAGTGATGTTGAGCATCTTTCCATGTGCTTTGTGCCTCTTCCCAGTCTTCCTTCCGTGCACACACACCTCTTCCCAGTCTTCCACACAGACCCCTAGACCCTCCAGGTGAGGAGGCAAGTCCTGGATGCCCGGCAGGGGCCCGTACCAGGGTCCCTGTCCTCTGACGAGGCTCCTGCGGAGAAGCCCTTCCCCTCTACATGCCGCGTCTCTCCTGGCCCTTTGGCCCTTCCAGCCTCTTCCTGGACAGTCTTCTGTCGGGAAGGTGAGGTCACAGGTGCCCTCTCCCTTACAGGTCATCTGTGGGAAGTGCTCCGAGTTCAAGGCTGAGAACGGCAGGCAGAGCCGAGTCTGCCGAGAGTGTTTCCTGACCCAGCAGGTAGCACCTGAGACCCCCAGCCCTGAGGCGGTGCCCGAGGACCCCAAGCACAGCACAGAGGTGGGCGGGGCCAGTGAACGTCCTGGACAGGAGCCCCTGTCCCTGGCACGGCGTAGACCATGCTCCCAGAGCTGTCGGCTTCCCTTGGGCCGGGACAGAGGGTGTGTGTGTGTTCAGTGTGTGCTCATGTGCACACGGTGTGTGCGTGTGCTCAGTGTGTGTGTTCATGTGCACATGGTGTGTGTGTGTGTGTGTGTGTATGGTGTGTGCATTCAGCTGAAACACAGCCCTTCCCCGTGAGCCACGCCCTGGTTCCTGCTGTTCTGTTCTTCCCTACTCTGTCTTTATTTTTCTCCTGGACCCACTGGTGGCCTCACTCTCCTAGAGGGTCCAGCCTGCTAGCAAGAGGCCTTGTGGTGACCTGGAGTGGGTCAGGCCAGCCTGGGACCTTGTCCAGTCTGCTCCCAGAAGGCCAGGCCTGGCGCTTTTACCCCCACCCCCGCCCATAAGGCTGCCACCTGCAGGGAGGCTGCGCCTGACCCATCCTTTGTGTCTCCAGAAGGCGGCGGCTGTGGACGCCCAGCCCAGCCTGCTCTGTGGTCACCTGCGGGTGTCAGACAGCGGTGACGCTTGGAGCGAGGTGTGGGCTACCATCCCCGCGTCGGAGCCCCTGGAGCTGGTGCTGCACCTGCAGGGAGGCAGCCAGGTGTGTGCCTGCCCCCCCGCCCCTGGGGTTGTCCTGGGGGGCGTGTCCCAGCTCCCACAGCCCAGAGGGGCCTGGGCCACACTGCCCGGGACCAACCCCGCTCGGACTTGTGTGATCTGGGGCCTCTGTTTCCCCGGCTGCTCTGAGTCACCCCTCTGCTGCCCGCCGGTGGGAAGGAGTGGTCAGCGGTGCCCGGACCACAGAGGCCTGGGTGCCAACCCACCTCTCCTTTGCTGCAGGCTGGCCGGCCGCCACGCACCATCCCCCTCTCGGGCTGCACAGTGAGCGTGCCAGACCCCACGGAGACTCTGGACACCGGGCATGTGTGGCGGCTACAGCAGGCCCAGCAGGCCCTGTACCTGAGCACCCCGTCGGCAGAGCAGCAGCAGCGGTGGCTGGAGGCCCTGAGCGCAGCTGCCCGTGGAGACCCGGCTCGGGCCTTCCCAGGGGCCCCGTGAGCTGAGCCTCCGCCAGGTGTCCCCGCTCCGCAGCCACCACGGTGGGGCCTGTTGTCACCTGGGAGGTGGCGTCGGAGGCCGCGTGCAGGTGCAAAGGGCTCGGACCGCTGGGGGTGGACAGGTCACAGGGCGCTTGACCCTGAAGGGACCTCTCAGAAGCGGAGGAAACAGGCCCAGAGGGGGCAGCTGCCCACCCAGCATGTCTCCGCAAAGAGCCTGGTTCTGCCCTCGGCCCCAGCTGTGTGGCCTGGAGTGAGGGTGCTGGCAGACTGTCTGGTGTGGGGCACCAGCTCTGGAAGGCAGAAGGAGCGACTTGGGGGTACCCGGGGCCTGGTGGAGGTCTGTAGTCCTGCCTTCCCTCTCTGCTGCCCCACCCCCGCCCCATCCACACCGTCTGTACCCGTGAGCTGAACTGTGACCGGTGGTGGACTCCACCCCTCCTCCACCCTGTCCGGGCCCCGAGGCCCACCTCCCCATTCGGACTGGCTGGTGGTCAGCCTGGGCCATCCCTGCGGGACCTCCCTGAGAAAGTCAGCGGAGGCCAGCAGAGGCCTGAGTTGTGTGTGTGGCCAGCGGCAGGACCTGCTTGTCTGCAGAAATAAATGCTGGCAGCCAGCAGGTGGGCACAGCCTCAGGGCAGGGGCGCCAGGTGGGGAAAGAGGGTGACAGCACAGCTAGGCCTGGGGGTATGGGACCCACCCTGTGGCGCAGTGTAGGGCCTGGGGCCCAGCCAGCCCCTCCCCCTGGTCCCACCTGGTCCCCTTCCCCCCACACCCATGACTTCTGCTCTCTGTGTGGTGACTGAGCACCTACTGTGTCCGCAGGACCTACTGGGCCCTTCTCTCCAGGATGTGCCCACTTGACAGCTAAGGAAACTGCGTCCTATCACCCCAGACCCAGGGGGTGGCCGGAAGTGACCCACTGGGAATAGCAGCATTCCGTGGGGTGGGAGGAAACTAGCCCCCCCCCCACAGTAGGTGCCCAAGGAGGGGTCCTCACAGCTGCCCCCCATGAGTTCTCTGAGCCGGGGCAGACCCGGCCCTCTCCTCCTGCCCACCAGCCTGGAGTCCCCACATGCAGGTTTCCACAGTGATCCCAGTGGGGGGCCCTTTCCTCACTGGGCAACCTTGAGGGTCCGCTGGGAGTTATGTTCCACAGCAGTCCATCAGAGAGCCCTGGGGCCCGTGGATTTTGGACGAGACACTGGGAAGGACTCCAGCAGCCGCAAGACATGGTGCCTCGGGGTTTGGGAGGAACAGAATCCGGAGCGGAGGACACCCCAGGGCGGGTGTTACAGGAAGAGAGTTCAAGCCTAGGGCAGGGCCACGAGGGGCCAGCAGGTCATAGGTGGGGAGCAGAGCAGGCTGGAGACCCCAGGGCCTGGTCTCCCCAAGGTGTCCCTTGGTGTTGCTCTGAGAGGTGGGGGCCACGGGGCGGGCCTGGGAGTGTGACTAGATCCGTCTGGCAGCAGCAGGGTTGTGGGGGCGCAGATAGAGACAGGGCCCCGGGTCCCCAGTGGGTCTCCAGGAAAACCCCTGTGATGGGCAAGTTGGAGGCTGCAGCTCCCGGCATTTAAAGAGATGAAACGCCAGTGTTCTTGTGAAACATCCTGATAAAAGTTAGCAACTACCACAGTCTGAAGTCACAGGTGGGTGGCGGTGAGCAGCCCCAGGAGGCAGGTCTGTCCCCAGGGGCCCCTCCTGCCCTGAAGCCCAGGGCCTGGGCACACTCTCCTGCCCACCCATGGAGGGTCCTGAGCAATGCCAGACGGTACAGGACATGGTCTCAGTCCCTGCCTGCCTAGCCTGATGCCACGCATAGGGGCTGTGGTTGGAGCAAGGGGGTCTACCTGAGCAGGTGTTCACAGGAGGAAGGGTAGCTAGCAGTCGGAGCCCAGTCTCCCATCGTGGGTGCCAGGGCCCACTAACCACCCCACCGTGGGAACATGTCCCCTCACCAGGCCCAGAGGGGGAAATACACTTGCCTGAGGTCACACAGTGAGGTAGGGACTTGGCTGGGTGTCATCCACCTGTTCGTGCCGGGCATTGCTCGCACGCCTCCTCTGTGCCACCACTGGATTTCTGGGACTGGGGGGTCAGACGACACCCTGCAGCCTCTGGCCCTTCCACACGTCCAGCCTCATTTTCTCCTGTTCCCCACACCCAGGTGCCCCCGGCTCCGGCCCTGGACCTTTATTAGAACGTACCCGCCTCCTTCCCACCTCCCTGTCGGCCCTTTTGAGACCGTGCTGGATGTACCTGTGCCCGGTCTCTACTTTTTGCTTGGATACTTGCCCTTTTTAACCTGTCTCTCCATCCAGCACGGAAGCTCCCGGGGCAGCACGGTACACCCACAACGGTGCCTGCCTCCTAGCAGGTGCCTGCCTCCTAGCAGGTGCTCGCCTCCTAGCAGGTGCTCAGTTGGTATCTGCCAACAGGATTGGTGAAGGCTTGGGGACGCTGTTCTTTCCGTGTGGCCCCTGAACACCTTGGGCCTGGGATCTTTGTTTTACAGAGGAAACTGAGGCTCAGAGAGACCCAGTGGCTGCCTCCCCCGTGGTCTCCGGGACTCAGGGACAGAGCCAGCTTATCCTTGGGCGTCTGGTCCCATTGCAGAGATTGGCACGATGAGACCTGAGGGGACAGCATGCCCCAGAACACTGGCAGAGGGGCATTTGGGTCCACTTGCAGCTATGCCTGTCCCCCAGGGGGACACTGAGGTGGCAGGATCAGCCCCTGAAGCCCCAGCTCATGCCAGACCCCACAGCTGAGGCCTTGAGGTGCTCTAGCTGTGGCTCCCACACCTCCTGGGGCCTGACGGTCCTGGCACCGGGCACCAGGGCGGGCTTGGCTCCCCCAGAGCTGTTTGCACGTATCTGCAGGTGAGCCCCTTCGGATCCTTCCAGGAGGCCCAGCTGGGAACCGAGGCTGTCATGGACCCCAACTCCCGTTCCTTTCAGGCACCACCCCCCCATACACAGGGCTCCGGTGGGCAGGATCAGCTGGTGGTCACCTCCAATCTCTGACATGGGGAGAAAAGGGTCATGAAGCCTCCCAGAACAGCACCTGAGTCCTTCACACCCTCCCCCCGTGGGACTCTACCCCCTCTGCATCCTGGTTCCCACCCAGCCACCTAGTGCACCCAGGAAGGAGGTCTGTGTGCCCCAGGTGCAAGTCCGCGTGGGCAGTGCTCGAGAGGCGTTCGGTCCAGGTGTATCCACCTGTCAGCACTCTTTCTTTCTCCAGATGATGCAGCTGTGATCCCTAGGGGGCTCCAAGTGGTCCCCAGGGGAGTCTCAAGGGTGCCAGGGGGCTCCAGGCTGTCCTGGCAGGTCTCCGGGTGGTCCCTGAGGGGTTCTGGTGTTCTGAACACCTGCTGTGAGGAGAGGCACGGCTGCTCCCTGACCAAACACCCTCGCACCCACCAGGGCTCCACTTTATGAGGGAGACAACTGAGAGCCCAAAACGGTGAGTGGGGTCAGGGCAGGTTGTGGGGAGGAGCCAGGCGCCCACCCCACATTCTGCACATTCCATCCTGGAAAAACGGCCGCCTCCGCCCTGCTGGCTCCCAGGACTGCCAGGCTAGGCCTGGCCCCGCCAGCTCGGTGGACTAATGGGTGTGGTGCCCGCTTACGGGTGCACAGAGCGGACGGAGGCGCTGAACCCAGGAAAGCGCAGCCCCCAGCCTACTCGTGGGAAGCCTTGTGTGCAGCACTCCTGGTTGGTCCCAGCGTTGGGCATGAGAGGGCCAGAGGGCCCTCCTGGAACAGGAAGGAAGGGCCTCTGGGGGCCTAGGGAATAGAGCCATCTCCAGCCTCACCTGAAGCTGCTGTGGGAGAATGAAGCGTGTGCCATAAGGTTTCTGCTCTCTGTTGCCTGCCTTACCCCGCAGCCACCGTCTGTAGGGACCAGCCTGCGGCCACCAAGATGTCCCCCGCCAGAATCCACACCGGCAGTACCTCTGAGGGGGACAAAGTTGTCCCCCTTCCTGCCAAGGCCGCTCTGCCTGCTGTGACACATGTCCCCCTCTCTGACAGGCCCCCCTCTCCCTGTGCCTTATCAAAACCTAGGCAAGCAAGTAATGCCCCCGAAACACAATGTCTGCCCCCAAAGGGGCCCCAGAAAACTGACAACTGAGCAGCCCATCCAGGGTCATCCCCAGAGCAGGAAGTGTGTGCGGCCCTCGGCCCAGAACCTACAGCAGCCTCTTCTGTGTCCTCCCAAAACCTGGGACCAAGGGGCCACCGCCCTCTCCCGCACACAGGGGTGCGCTACGGCTCAGCACGGGGAGGTCCCCAGGAGATCAGAGCAGGGGCTGTGTCAGGTTTCTGTCAGTAGCAGATCCTGTTATGTGGATTGAATGCAAGGAGTTTATTGAGGAGGCCACCTAGAAAGAGCTGTGTGGGTGGAGAATGAGATGGAGAAGGGCAGAGAGCCAACACAGGTGTCTCGGGTTGAATGGTGTCCGTTACCTCCAAATTCTCGTCCATCCGGAACCTCAAAAGGTGACATTATTTGCAATAAGGTCTTTGCAGATGTTGCTGGTTAAGCATAGAGCAGGGCCCCAAACCCAGTAAGTGCTTATCAGAAGAGGAGAGGACATTCCGGAAGGCCCCCCACGCTCCCAGGGGGTGTGTGGCCTTGCCCTCACCCTAACCCCAGACTCCCTGCCTCCAGAACCAAGAGAGAGTAAATTTCTGCTGTTTTAATCCCTTAATTTCTGTCATTGCCAACTTTGTGACCATTTGCATGGCAGCTCCAACAAACGGGTTCCGTGCGATACGGGACGGGCTGTGTGACTAACACCCCAAACCGAGTGGCTGTGGAGTTGCGGACGGGAGGAGTGTGGGGCGTGCTCCCACCAGAAACGCGGGCGATGAGGGCACCCCCGGTGAGAGCTGAGACAGGACGGAGGGGAGGCCACCCTTGCCTCAGGTGGAAAGTAGAGCTGGATGTTAGCTGAGGACAAATCGGGGAGGGGCCCTTGGGCAGAAGGGAACCTGCTGGGGTGTTGACTCAGGAAATGCCCTGTTCAGAGACTGTGGTCTGAAGAGACCTGAGGTGCTGCTGGAGAGATCGGGGCTGTGACCCCCCGAGTCTGACAAAGGGGCAGAGCTGGGATCACCAGGCGAGGCCTGTGGGGCCCCTTGTCTGGCGGCGTGAACCCCTGTGCGGCGCCCAGGCTTGTGAGGACAAAGCATCAGGCCCTGAAGTCTCTGCGGCTCACGCTGCTGGCCTTCCGACTGGCGGTTCGGGTAATTTCGGAGGCCGTCTGATACCCGGCCTGGGGTGACTAGGGCAAGTGGACAGGGCCAGGGGGCAAGGAGGTGGCTGTGGCTCTGCACAGGCTGGCCTGCAGGTGAAGGCAGCCCCGGGGGCATCCTTTACCATCTCCAAGCACTGGGGGGGGGGGGGGCCGCCCCCAGGGTCAGCACGCCTGGCAAAGCCTCAGATCACAGAAAATGAAAGGCCATCGGGAAGGAGCCTTGGGGAGCCTCGGGCCCCGAGGGGCTTGGCTGAGAGGCCACGGGGCGGAGGGGGGTGCACAGGCAGCCCCTGCCACAGACAACCTGCCCAAAGCACCACAGCAGCACCAGGGTCTGAGCTCAAGGTAGCTGATGGTCTAGGCCAGAGCTCCACCTGGTGAGTGGAGAGAACGAACAGAAGGGGAGTTTGCCCGAGGTGCCACCAGCACTACCCACCTGAAGCAGCTCTCGTCCGTGGACT